GTGTGTATGTGTGTAATAATAAATTTAAATAGCTATTTCTATAGTCGGTTTGGTTCGGATTTTTCCGGTTATTTTTTGATTAAAATCAAAATCAAACGAAATTTGATCGGTTTTTAAAATTCAAAACCAAACCTAAAAAGTATCGATTTTTTGGTCGGTTTGGTTTGGTTTTCGATTTTGTTCGATTTTTCGTGTTTTTATGAACATCCCTACTAACACTAATACTATCGAACTAGTGAAGACAAAGGAAAATACACACTACCTACTAATCTTCTACCCACACACTACCTACTAATCTTCTACCCTAGTCTTCAACCTCCACGCCCTTCTATCCGAGGTCATATCCTCGATTAGCTGGAGTTGCGCCATGTCCCGCCTGGTCACCTCTTCCCAAGACTTCTTTGACCTACCTTTACCCCTCCTCTTACCCCCAAGTCGAAACAAAACAATAGATGCTTGATATATTCTTTTACTTAAATTTTATCACTTAATCACGATTAACTTATGCGTATTCTTTCCACTATTATTACTTATTCAAGATAAATTTTATAATTTGAATGAGTATGCGGTGTGACTTACTTAACCAAGATACAACAACAACAACAACAACAACCAGTATAATCCCACTAGTGGGGTCTGAGGAGGGTAGTGTATACGCAGACCTTACCCCTACCCTGGGGGTAGAGAGACTGTTTTCGATATACCCTCGGCTCCATCCCTCCAAGAACTCCCCACCTTGCTCTTGGAGTGACTCGAACTCACAACCTCTTGGTTGGAAGTGGAGGATACTTGTCACTAGAGCAACCCACTCTTGTCTGACTTACTTAACCAAATAAGTTTTATAATTTGAATTGTGTGACTTTTGAGTATATGTTTTATGGGAGGTGGTAGGTATTTTTGCCAACTTCATCCTCATTCCATGTCCCAAGTCCCAAATAGGGGTACTTATCGGGCGGATCGGACGAATAATTACGCTTAACAATTCGGCTTATCGGTTATCGAATTATAAATGTAGTAATCCGCTAGCCATCCAATAAGACAACGGGCGGATTGATATCAGATTAACGATTATTGGACGGTTTATCGTCTAAACCAAATAATTTTTTTTTGATCATAGCATCTTGCTGCTCTAGCTTCACAATTCGATCATATGCTGTTCTAACGTATATTCGAGGCACTCTCTTGCACATGACAATAAATCTCACATTATATTATGTACATGTTGGATATGAGACTATCTCAATCACTGCTCCCAAATGAAACAACAACCTTAATTATCAAGCCAAATAACAGGAATGAAGCAGAGAAGAAAGGATTGTGATCACTTATGTTGGCCATTTTTTGATCATAGCTTCTTGTTGCACTTTCTCTGTTCTAATGTATATGCTGTTCTCATATCCAACATGTACAGAGTATACTGTGGGATCTATTACAATGGAACAATTTTTTTGAATATTCAACGAAGGTAAAAGTATAAATATAAAAATACTTAACGGGTTAAAAGTTTGTCCGATAAGAAAATTGAGTAATTCGCCCCCAAACCGTTAATTATAAAATCTCAATCCGTTCACTATTCATTACCCCGATAACCCGATACCAATAAGCCAATAAGCCATCGCTTCGATTCGATTAACGGTTACAGTTCGATTTTGAATAGTCCTAGTCCCAACCAACCAGGTCAATCCAGTTTCATTACCAAAAAGAACTAAAAAAAGAAAAATATACACTTTTTAAATATAAATATTCCATAGTTTTTTTTCATCAGATAAATTTTCCATTTTTCTCGTAAATGTTTAATAATCCCCGGAGTTCCTCTCTCTAATAAAACTTTTCCCTTGCCCGAAAAAAAAAAAACACATAAACGCTCAGAATACAACACGCACCCTTTTCCTTTTCCTCTCATTCTTCTTCTTCTCCTTCCTTTTCGTTAGCAGCGTGGTCATGATTCTCACCAATCGCCACTCTCATTGAAACCCTAATTTCGCCACTCGTCTTTTCAGGTAATACTACTGTAACTGACTATCACTGTTTCTAGGGTTTGTTGATTGGCGAGTTGGGTGAACAGCTCAATTATTTGGCTTTGTATTGAAGTGTGTTTCTGTAATTTTCTTATAGCGATTTTTAGTATTGAATTTCTATGCAAGTTTTGATTTTTTTGCTGAAAAGATTGGTGGATCTGTTGTATTGTAGATAGAAATCGGAAAAACACAGAATAAAGCGGTTTTTGAGGGTCTGGATTTATGTCCCACAATCAATCGAGGGCTGACACTCGCGAGGCTTTTCAGTACAGGAGAACCGGCCGATCCGGTAGCTTTAATCAGCACCTCGGCGGTAATAAAGGAAGTGGTGGTGGTGGCGGTGGCAGAGGCGCCGCCCCTCCTGTTTCTTCCACCACCAATCCCTCTCTATCTTCTAATAGAAGGTGGGTTTTCCGTTTGTTGCTGGGTCATTTTCTGAAATTTGATATTTTTGTAGAAAGCTAGGGTTTTCCCCCCAATATTTATTGGTGATTCTTAGATTTCCATTTTTGTTTGGTGCTCTTAGTTTCAACAAGAAGTATAATAATGCACAAGGAGGGCAACACAGGGTAAGTGGTGCTAGTACTGGCTCGGATTCTCATCAGAATGGTGCTCATCACCAACAACAACAAGCATTGCACGGTATGTCAATTGATTATAATTTTATTTGCATGTGTATTAGGGTTGTGAAGTAGTTTGTTTTGAAGGCTACGATGGTCTGTATAGGTTTAAAGTCAACTGCTTTGATGATTTTGTGTAGTTTGGTGCAACAGAATGTATTAGTATTTTTTTTTTACTTCAATTCCGCGAAGTTAACTAATGCAGTTAATTTATTGTTGCAGGAGCATCAGATGTACCTGTTACTAGTGCGAATGCACCTGTTCCGGGTGCTCCTGTTAAGCAGACTGATGCTTCTACGNCTCTCAATAACCCTCAGAGTTCTCAGCCACCAAGGCTTTTTAGTCAGGTTAGTCAAAGCTCAAGTCCTGTGTGGACTTTTCTATCTTAATTTTTCTTTGGCTTACAATTGAACTTCGTATGTGCCCACAATATAATGTTATCTTGTTCATGCAAATCAACTTTAGGTGACAGTGAAACCGGCTGCTAGAATACATCCAGAAAAAGAGCATTTACCATCTGTCAGTTCAGCTGCTTTTGGAAAAGATCAAGTGAGACTTTCGAAGCCTCCTGGAGGAGATTCAGCTCACCCTCAAAAAGACATGGACACTTTACATCAGAGCTCCTCCGCACAGTCAAAGATTGGCAATGCTTCAAAATCTGCATCAAGGCCTGTAGCAAACATACAATCTATTAAAGTGGCTGATTCTATCTCAGAGCAGAGCCCAGCAGCTGGTGTATCGTCATTGACCTCTCAGGCTCCCAGTGAGCCTTCAGTATCTGTAATTACAGATAGTAGTGTAGATGCAACAACTGAAACACTTGGCGTCCTGGAACCCACTGAAGATCAACAGAAAAAACAAGCAATAAGAGGACAGGTGACTATGCAGGATAAAGTATTTGATTTGCATACTTTTTTGAATGTACTATACTAGCTCGATGCCTCGATACTACTTATGACTGAAAGTTTTGCAGGCTCTTGGGAAATCTACCTCAGTTTCAAGTCCCCCATCCCAGTATCCACTAACTGGACACGTTGAGGTCAAGACTGCTGCTTCATTGGGCCCTGCTGCACTGGGAAACAGTAGGGAAAATCTTTCTCCTTCAGAGTCCGTTGTATTGAAAAGCTGCATTACTGGAGATAGTGGAAAAGAAGTTTCGCCCGAACTTTTGGATTCCAGAAATCTGGTTGCAGGTATGCCAGTACCTAAAACTGGGGATAGATATGAAGTAACATTGCCGGAGGTTGGTGAACAGGGTGAGAATAATATCTCGAAGCCGTCTTCTGGATCTCTTCTGGTAAAATCTGTTGAGGTGTCTGGCCTGACCGAAGAGGGATCTCCTGAGAAAGCAACAAATGCCAACATTGAGAGCGGTCAGCCAGAAACTGGAGAGGAAGATACAAATGCATCTGCCGGCTCAACTGGAGTTGATAGCATGGCTGATAGCATAACATCATCCACTTGTAATCAGAATTTTACAGATACTGAGGCTTGCACATCAGCAATAGGTCTATCAGCTCAAGATGATCAGGCATCAGATATTGCAGACCCCGAAGAAGCTGCTGTGACAGAATCGGCTGTAGTAAGTCAGGAATCTGCCTCTAATTTGGTTAAGAATTCTGATGAGGCCACTTCGAAGTGTGAAGATGAAAATACTGAAGCTGATAATTCCGGTGTAGCTAAGTCGTCGTCTGGTGTCAAGGAGAAATCTCTGGTGGATTCCAATGTGCCTAAGGTTACTGCGGCTAGGGGAAAGATGAAAAAGAAAGACTTGTACAAGAAAGCAGATGCTGCTGGCGCGACTTCTGATCTCTATATGGCTTATAAGGGTCCAGAGAAAAAAGATGAACTTGCTCCATCTGTGGAAGCCGGCGAAATCACTTCTAAGAATAACTCGAAGCCTCTATCTGATGATGCGCCTCAGGAAGATCTTACATCAACTAAGAAGGTTGGTGAAGTTAAAACAGAGCCTGATGATTGGGAGGATGCCGCAGATATATCTACTCCTAAACTAGAAGCTGCTCCAGAGCACGGGAAGCAAGTTGATGGTGAAGATGGTGATGGTATGACAACCAAGAAATATTCAAGAGATTTCTTACTTAAATTTGCAGAACAATGTATTGATATTCCTGAGGGTTTCCAAGTTCCTTCTGATATAGCTGATATTTTGATAAATGCGAAAATCAGTGTTTTCCGTGAGCCTTGCCCTAGTCCTGGAAGAGCTCTCGATAGGCCATCTAGTGGACTTCGTGAACGCCGCGGAGGTGGCATTGGGGATGGAGATAAATGGAGTAAGATGTCTGGGCCTCTTATGCCTGGGCGAGATATACAGCCGGACCTTGTTTATGGGGGAAACGTTATGGGATTTCGACCTGGCCCAGGTGGCAATTGTGGTGTTTCGAGACACCCTCGAGCGCCGATGCCTATTGCTCAGTTTGCCGGGGGTATACTGCCTGGACCAATGCAATCTATGGGTCCTCATGGAGGAGTCCAGAGAAATGGGGTTGATGCTGACAGGTGGCAGCGTGGAACTGCTTTCCAAAAGGGTTTAATGCCTTCTCCTCAGACACCAGCAAAGATTATGCACAAAGCTGAAAGAAAGTATGAAGTAGGTAAAATAACAGACGAGGAACAAGCCAAACAGAGACAGCTGAAAGCTATCTTAAATAAGCTAACTCCCCAAAACTTCGAAAAATTATTCCAGCAAGTCAAAGAAGTCAATATTGACAATGATGTGACGCTCAATGGTGTAATTTCTCAGATATTTGATAAAGCTTTGATGGAACCAACTTTTTGTGAGATGTATGCCAACTTCTGTCAGCACCTAGCGGCAGAGTTGCCTGATCTGAGCGTAGACAATGAAAAAATCACTTTTAAGAGGTTACTTCTGAACAAATGTCAGGTAGAGTTTGAAAGAGGAGAAAGAGAAGAACAAGAAGCTAATGTGACTAACGAGGAAGGCGAAGTAAAACTGTCGGCAGAGGAGAGGGAGGAAAAAAGAGTCAAAGCACGGCGACGAATGTTGGGGAATATCAGACTGATCGGAGAACTTTATAAGAAGAGAATGTTGACAGAGAGAATTATGCACGAGTGCATCAAGAAGTTGTTAGGTGACTATCATAACCTTGACGAGGAGAATATTGAAGCTTTGTGTAAGTTGATGAGTACAATTGGGGAGATGATAGATCATGCCAAAGCAAAGGAACATATGGATGTATACTTCGATAGGATGGAAAAGTTATCAAATAACATGAAACTTTCTTCTAGGGTGAGGTTTATGTTGAAGGATTCAATTGATCTAAGAAAAAACAAATGGCAGCAAAGGAGAAAAGTTGAAGGGCCTAAGAAGATAGAGGAAGTGCATAGGGATGCTGCCCAAGAACGACATGCACAAGCTACTAGGCTTGCTCGTACTCCTAGTTTGGGTGTTTCTGCTAGAAGGGGTCAACCAATGGATTTTGCTCCAAGAGGGAGTATGTTGTCTTCTCCAGGCTCTCAGATGGGTGGTTTCCGTCCTGTGTCTCCACAGGTCCGTGGCTTTGGCATGCAGGACGTACGGGTGGATGAGAGACATTCTTTCGAGAATAGGACATTATCACTTCCCCTGACCCAGAGGCCTCTTGGTGATGATCCAATCACACTTGGGCCCCAAGGTGGTCTTGCTAAGGGAATGTCTTCTAGGGGCCAACCTGCTGCGCCAAGCATTCCATTCACTGATAATGTGCCAAATTTTGGAGATTCTCGAAGGATGACACATGCCCAAAATGGCTATGGTTTGCCTGAACGTGCCCCTTATGCTTCAAGAGAGGAGCTTATGCCCAAATATATGCCCGATCGATTTTATAGTCAACATGATCAAGCAAGTGCACCAGAAAGGAACTTGACTTATGGGAGTAGGGATCGTGGATTTGATACTTCTCGGCCTGCTTCACCACCTGTGAGAAGTGGAGGGCCAATTTCGACACAGAATTTTGCTTCTGAGAAGGTTTGGTCAGAAGAACGTCTGCGGGACATGTCTATGGCTGCTATCAAGGAATTCTACAGGTACTTTCTTAACTAACTTTTTGCCTGATTATTATTTACTTGCATTATACTGGTATTGGTCCGACTATGGCTCATGTTCAGTGCAGACACCATCTTAGAATGGTTTCTTTTATTTACTTAAAATAAGTATCATTCTAGAACTGTTTACAGAAAGTTGCTTCTGTTACGCTGAAGATTTCGGCTCAACATTGGGTGTCATTCTTGAACTGTTTTCACTTAGCTGAAGATTTTGAAGGTGAGCCTTGGAGCAACGGTAAAGTTGTCTCCGTGTGACCTATAGGTCATGAGTTCGAGCCATAGAAGCAGCCACTAAGGCTTTTGTTAGGTTAGGCTGTCTACATCACACCCCCGGGGTGCGGCCCTTCCCCCGATTTTGCGTGAATGCGGGATGCTTTGTGCACCGGGCTGCCCTTTTTTACTTAGCTAACTTATTCAAGATATCATCATGACCTTCTGAACCTTTAGGAAGTATGGGCTTATATTTACGTTTTGGCAATTAAAGATTTTGAGGAAGACCTCTTCCAATAGCCAACCTCAAGTAGTTTGATGTTGAGTAGTCGTTATTTTTGTTGTAAAGTGTAAACCATGAACCTAAAAGAGCCGTTCACCAACCAAAAAGGAGCGCAGTGTTAAGTTTGAAATTCAGGCTTGACAATTGATTTTCAGGATATCTGCAAAAGCATTTGCAGTGAAAACTTAGAAAAGCTGTGATCGTAGTTTGGGTTGGTGTGCTTTCTTGGCAGTTTGACGCACGAGGAACTTTGGTATTTTGTTGACTGAGAGTTGGTGTATTAGAAGAATCCGCTCACTGTTTGAGAACATTTACATTCTAACTATCCAACTTTTCTGTCTCCTATTTTACTAGGGAAATTGAAACTTATAATTTCTGGTAATTAAGATCTCATACTTAAAAAAACATAAGCTCCTTTAGTATTTGTCATCTTAAACTTCTCATCTTGTAGCAAAGTGTTGATTCTCCTAATACCCTAGTCGTGAACGATTAATGTAGCATTGTTTCTACACCCGTTGTTTTGGTACGTAATTTTGTGCAGTATATTGTGACCTAATTCATCTTATTATTAATTAACTTGAGCCTTTTCATTTCAGTGCGAAAGATGAGAAAGAGGTTGCTTTGTGTGTAAAAGACTTGAATGCACCCAACTTCTATCCATCAATGATTTCAATTTGGGTTACTGACTCTTTCGAGAGGAAGGATATGGAGAGGGATCATTTGGCAAAGCTTCTCATCAGTCTAGCTAAATCTCAAGACGTGACAATAAGTCAAGATCAGCTTGTTAAAGGGTAGGCAGCTGTATTTTCATGTAAAACACAAATACAACTTCAAACCACTTGAAGTCTCTGTTTAACTTTTTGTTTGTGTTTATTCTGTCAGGTTTGAATCCGTTTTGGTTACCTTGGAGGACGCAGTCAATGATGCCCCTAGAGCAGCAGAATTTCTTGGTCGCATCTTTGCAAAGGTCATACTGGAAAATGTGCTACCATTTAATGAAGTTGGGCATTTGATATACAAAGGTGGGGAAGAGGAAGGACGCCTTGTGGAAATAGGGCTTGCCGCTGAAGTTCTTGGGAGCGCATTGGAGGTAATCAAGCTAGAAAAAGGTGAGTCCGTCGTGTCGGAAATCTGCAGAAGCTCTAATATGCGGCTAGAGAACTTCCGGCCTCCAGGTGGTTCTAACAAGCAATGGAAACTAGACAAATTTATTTAGGTAACAGGGAGGGATTGTATCTTGGTAGAGATTCATGTCTAGTTTTTAGGGCACATTTTAATTTTGCAGATATATTTAAATGGTGATTAATATAAGGGTTTATATCCTTGAATTTTTTTTAGTACCCATTATTTTGTGGAACTGCAATAATAGCAATAGGGTAAACGAATTTGTTTAATATCTTGGCCACTTCCAGTGTCCACCGTTATCAAGTTTAGAAAATAAGAACTTTTTAAGGAGAAGGAACAACTTGGAAAGGGCTACACTTGAAGTTGAGGAAGTAGTATGCTTTCCTTAGTTTTGTACTTCAGTAGGGAGAACCGGGTGTACATGGACCGGGTTGATTCGATTTTTATCAAAACTAAACCAAACCACTATATCGATTTGGATTGGTTCGGTTTTTTCGGGTTTTCGGGTTTTGTTGTTACATGAATATTATTTCAATCTCACTTTGTTAATTTTTTTATAAGTAAATATATATTTAGTAAAAATTAAAAAAATTTGACAAACATATGATCTATTAGCATATTCTTATGAGAGAATGTTTTTAGTAGCATATGATAGTTATTTTTTTAGTCATCTTACAATAATTTTTTGTTGATGTTCACTTTCAAGATTAATTGAATTTAATAATTAAATATAAAAATCATATGATACCTATATAATGATATATTCTATTTAATTTTAAATTATTGAATTATCACTTCAAATTCAAAAAAGATATAAGAATTTAATAGATTTAGACATATGAATATGGAAGAACAAAGAGATTGACGCATTTCACTAACACTTGATAGAAAATGATCGTACAACTCATTATTTAAAGTTAATAAAAATAGAGCACTTCATATTTAACTAAATATTACATCCATAAGAGAATCGCAAATATTTCTAGATATTTTTAAAAGAAATATTCTATAAAAAGTCTTAAAAGTATATATAAAAATTATATATTTATATGTCGGTTTGGTTCAGATTTTTTACTCAATACCAAATCAAACCAAACCTAATCGGGTTTTTAAATAGGTTTGGTTTGAATTTACGGTTTGGTGTGAGTAGCGGGCGAACTAAGGATTTCGTGCTTGCAAGGAAGCGTGGGTATTTTGGAGAAACAAATGCTGCTGGAAAAAAAGATAGAAGCAGCATTGGTGCGGGATGGGTTTCCCCCCTATATGGTTCTGGCTTGGAGGTCAGAAATCCGCGGCCTCATCTTTAACCACTCTACTAGGGAGGCTGTGCTTTCTGAAAATATTATTTTTTTCGGTTCAGTTTGTACACTTATCATGGGTAACCCTTAAAACTTAATCTTCTATTGGAGATCACATTAGTTTCTTTACGTTATGAGCCAACATGTTGCAATCTAAGAAGTTTAGGTATTAATTACAACAAAGAAGTAAATTAAAGTCGGCCCCGGCCCCTCAACTCTTATATGCTTTATTATACCATTCTCTGTAAACTCGCTTTGTTATGGAAAAGGAAAGGAAGAAAAAATAGACTTGTGCCATTCTACAAAACATTTGTAGGCAAGTAGCAAATATCGATCATTGAACCGTAAAGCATATCGTATGTTTGGCTAAAGTGGATAATGGGAGCATAGACTATTGGCTAAATTGATACTACTTGTTTAGCCTATTCAATTTCAGTTATGGGTCCCAAATTATACAAGGTTTATGGGTCAAAGGCCTCCTGGTTGCTCGATCTATGGCCCATGTTATATGGAGATGTAGGCCATTCTTGGGAGCGTTTTGGAAAAGTAATTGAAACATAGCCACCGTTTCAAAAGTAATCGAAATTTAGTCACTTTTTATGTAAAGATAAATTTGACCGAAAATACTGTTCAAAATCCGGAAAATATTCTAGCATAATATACTGGACTTCCAGTATAATATACCGGTCCAACATAATATGCTGGAAATTCATACACATGTGATCCAATCTCCAGTATATTATGTGGGAACTTTCTGCGTGTTGGAGTTCTAGCATAATATTCTGGAGGTTCATACACGGGTGCACCAATCTTCAGTATATTATGCTGGACCGGTCCGTGTTGCAGCAAAATAGTGGTTATTTTTTAATGACTTTGCAAACTGTGACTATTTTTGAATTACCAGTCCGAAAACTGACTAGCCCATGTTATTTTTATTATATACACCGGAAATGTTAGAAAAGGTTTCATAGTACAAGCGTGTCTTAACCTATAAAGTAGGTAACTCAGCGTTATTTTTTAGGTTACTGTTCAACTTTTGTGGATGATTAGCTGTAGTTATTGTTTAGGTAACAGTATATAGAAGTTAAAATTTTTGGAGAAATGTGGTTATGCCGTTTAATTGTGGTTAACTGGTTGTATGGTGAAGCTTCACGTCAACTGATCCATATTCCTTTTACAGCTTAGAATGGGTCAGACCAATTCTGGCATTTTCAAGTCTAAAGTTGTCCTCCAGTAATCACGGAAGGTGGGGGGCTCTTAACCAAAGAGCATTTAACTGCTCGTAAAAAAAGTTAGTCTTATTTGGTCTCTCCCATTTAATTTGTACTCACTTTTTAAATTTTTTTTAACGGGTTTCCAATTCTAATAGTACTTCATGATAGAGGCGGATCTAGGATCTAAAGCTACGGGTACCGTTATATTCAATGTAAACTTATCGCTAGTCAATGAAGTTGAATTAGGATATGCATTTGATCGGTTCGCGTAGTTTAAAATTAATTTGTGTGATTCAATTCATTTTGAATTAATTTGGTTCTCTTTGTAAGATTTTTTATGCATAAATAAACACGTGATTACCAAACTAAAAATGTTTGATTCTTTATTTGAAATCAAGGAAAAAAAAAATAACATTAACTAGATAAAAAGGAAAAAAATAATTTGCAAAGCAACGGAATTAAGAAAAAGAAAAGAGGGAACAAACAAGTCGTCGAAGAGGAAAAGCAAAGTTTAGCTTCTGCTAATATGAGAAAAGGAAAAAATTGCACGGGCGCCCTATATGGTCGCCCCCATTTAACTTATACCCACTTTTTAAAAAAAGTTTTAACTTGTACCGATTTTTTAAACAACTTCAGGCCTCTTTCTCCTCCTCCTTTGTCTTCTTCTTCGGGTGACAATGATTTTATATGATGTTTGTGAACATATTTTAAGGTAGTTTATGATGTTTTATAATGGTGAACTGTTATGACACTTTAGTTTTTTACTATTACTTAGGGTTTCTTCTTCTTCTTTTTTGTAACTGCAAAATGGGTTCATTAGATTTATTGTTGTTTTGACAAATTGATGATTGAGGTTTGTTTCCGATGATATCTGGAGGTTATGTTTCAAATTTGAGCTCATTTGGAATAGATTTAAGTATTAAATCGTATATTGGATTGTTATAATTCGAAGAACAAATTTCTGTTTTTGGGCAATTTACACTTCAGGACTATTTGGCCTTAAATGCATAAAAACGTTGGTTGCACTTCAAACCTTTTGGCCTTAAGTTCATCTTAAGTGCAATTTTTCACTTCAGACTTATTGGCCTTACGTGTAGCAAAATGTTTGTTGCACTTCAGACCTTTTGACCTTAAGTGCATCTGAAGTGCAATTTTTCACTCCAGACTTACTGGACTTAAGTGCATGAAACCATCAGTTACACTTCAGACCTATTTGGTCTTAAGTGCATATGAAGTACAAATTTTTACTTCACAGTTATTGGACTTAAGTGAATGAAAACGTTTGTTGCACTTCAGACTTTTTGGCCTTAAGTGCATTTGAAGTGTAATTTTTCACTTCAGACTTATTAGCCTTAAGTTGCACTTCAGACTTTTTGGCCTTAAGTGCATTTGAAGTGTAATTTTTCACTTCAGACTTATTAGCCTTAAGTTGCACTTCAGACTTATTAGCCTTAAGTGCATGAAACCATTGGTTGTACTTCAGACCTATTTGGCCTTAAGTGCATTTGAAGTGCAATTTTTTCACTTCAAACTAATTTTTTTTAACTTCAAACCCGGTAAGTCTGAAGTTGATCGTAAAGTGGGTACGCTTGCAAATATTTTTGTAAAGTGGGTATAGGTTCAATTGTGACTCCAAAAATCGGGTATAGATGCAAAAGCCCCTGAGAAAAGTGGGTATTGATCTTGGGCCTAAAGCCTGGTAGGAGAGACTTTAACCATGCCACCTACAATCGTTTTGTGACTAGGGGTGCCATTTTTTTTAAAATCTTATTTTTGTAACTTTTTTTTACGTGATGTACCCGTATCTACATAAAATTTTACACAAACGACCGGGTGGCATACCACCCCAATTCCGCTACATAGATCTGCCAATGCTTCAAGATTAAAACCCGGCGACTCGTTGCTGTTGCTTCTTCTTTAAAAAAAAAATGAAAGTAGTGATGATGTTATGATGGTTGTTTCGGCTCATTTTGGAGATAAAAAAGGTGGTCCTTTGGTGGCTGTTTTAGGTGGCTCTCATGGCTGTTTTTAGCTGAGGAGACTAGCAGCGCTTATGGAGGTTTAAGAACTGCTCTCATTGTGGGTATTTTGGGTGATTTGTGGAGGTTATGGCTGGTTTAAAGTGCAAAATGTTAAAAGAAGAAGAAGAGCTAAACTTCAAATCCGATTTATAAGTTGTACTTCAAAGTTATAAGAACTTCATATCTCAGATTCTGAAGTAGCACTTTTAAGGGATAAGAATTTCAAATCTGATTCTGTAGTTGCACGTTGAAGTGATAAGAACTTCAGATGAAACAATTAAAAGTTCACATCCGATTCTAAACCCTAAATATGTAACTTCAGATGCAGATTCTTAAGTGGTCACATATGAATTCTGAAGTGTGTTCCGAAGTAGGTAAATTAGCAAAAAATTTTAACTTCGGATATGGGTGAAGTGCAGCAATAGCCACTTTAAGCCCGCTATTAAAATATATCTATAATTTACAATGTATTTAAAGATTAGTCAATTCACCAAAATTTCAAGATTCAGGACATAAGATTCGAACTTCTGGACACAATTTTCGAACTTTAGGACACAATGTCTTGAAGTTTGAACTTTGAGATTTAAACTCTAGGATGCCGTGTCTTGAAGTTTGAGAAAATTGGTTAATCTTTAAATATATTATAAACAATGAATATATTTTAAACATCACGCTTAAAAGTGG